GAGATTATATTTTTATGAAAACCGTGAATTTTGTGAATTTATAAAGGAAAATTCTAATTTCCGAATATATTTAAGTCTTTATTCCAAAGCAAAAGAAAAGGTTTGTATGGTTATAGAGACTCCAAAGCCTACCAGCGCATCTGCCCAGAGAGCTCATTAAGCACACCCAAGTTTGAGCGACCATTACCCGGAGCTCCTCAAAAATACTCAACATCAAAGTATTGAATGTCACAATATGAATTATACACACATACAATAGTAATTGCTATGAATGGCTGCCGTATAAACTCAGGACACGCATTTGCTTGGAGACTCCGAAGGTTAAGGTGGTCATAAGTTCAGCCAGCGAATTCAATGGTCCATTACCCGGAGCTGCTCCAACATGATGAGTAGCTTTTAGTGAGGCTCACATGCCATTGCCTCTGAATACACACTGCATATCGGAATATTGCAAAATAAATAGCAGTTATCTCTTATATAATTATAAAAAAGTGTTTGTTTACAAAATTACCTGTGTCACTCTGCCATAGTACGGTTGTTGCTCCCTTTCATACCACAGTAAATTTGTATGCAACTCTGAATCGGCAAAATTCATGCTCCTTCTCACTATCAACCCAGATCAGATTTTAACCCCGAGGAGTACTCAAAAAGGTTTATTACTGTATATACTGTGAGTGAAACCCCCAGAGCGCGGAGGCTTCTATTTAAAGAGTTGTTAACTTTTAAAGTTGCACAATTCACCACACTAGGCAGGGGTAACAATGCGCTGCGCGGCGCACATATGAAAAGCGCTAGCGCCATTAACACCAAGAAACACATAAGACACACACACACTTCGCCTTAATTCATTGAAAAAGTAAACGTACTTTGTTTTTGCTTTTGAGTTGTGAGAACGGCAGAAACTTATGTATCTTGGCAAATTTAAAGATTTTACTCAAGAATGATGAAAATATCGTACATACATTCCTAGCAATTAAATTCAGTTGGCGGTACAAGCGTTGCTCAGCGCTTATAGAAATAATAGACATGACACCACTGTATGCTGTACTGCACTGTATGACGATGGGTACTGTGGTGACACTCAGATGGCGCCGTGTTTAATTCAGTACACTGCGCTATTGCGCTGAGTTAGTGCGCTGACACCACAGGTGGCGCTGGCGTTATTGAGCTAGCGCCAAAAAAATTGCGCAATAACCCATGGCTACACTGTATGACAACGGATCTGTACTATAAATATTGCGCTATTACCCATGGCTATACCATACAAATTTCATTGATTATATGGAAGTGTTGGAAATGAACACAGTTGTCCGTGCTGCCAGATGATGAGGATAGTAAAAGAAGTCGGTGGATTTTTATTGAAAATTTTCACTTTGTATTGAAATAATTGGGGTATTCACAACAGTGTCGTAAGTGTCGTATTGTTGTATGTCGTAAACTTTAAACGCATAAAAAACATGTTAAAGGGGTTTGCAAAGTACCATCAAAGTCATATTATGTATTTTCGCAGTGTTAAAAAATAGTTGGTTGTGGTTTCAAGTTCTCTTAACATTTATTTAAGCTTTTAAAGTTTACGACATACAACCATACGACACTTACGACATGGCTGTGAATCCCTCAACTGTTTTACATAAAAAAAAGAGTCGCAGTCGAATTATTGATTTTAATAAAAATGTGCATTTTTTATCGAATCATCGATTTTTTATAAAAAATTTTCATTGTTTATTGAAGTATTGTTTTTTTTTAAAGCGCCACAGGGAAAATTTAAAAAAAAATCGCCCGATTTTACTTTCTTTAAAGCGCCGCGGACATTCATTTGTTCTCAAATGTTATCTAGAACAGAAGTAGATTGTTGAATATCCCTTACTTTTCGTGTACCTATTTAATTTTCGAACATCTGGTAGCACCTTTCTATTCTCCATTACAGCCATTTTGCTTGTTACTTTGTTGAAGAAAAGTAGTGAAATTATTAAACGCATTTAATATTGTTAAAAGATAAAATAAAATACATTTAATGTATACAAAATACACGTGAACATTGCAAAGATCGTATATTTATCAAAATATGTGTTAAGTGCTCTTTTCATATGAAAATTTGCAAAGAATTTAGCACCAAGTTAGTTATATACTATTACTAATAAGAGTGATAAATAATGTGAATATATTCTTTACATCTCCGCTAAGTTTTATGACAAAATTCGTAAAAGCTTTGCGAAAACACCCAAAAAAGCGATGTAATGGAAAGCCTACCCCAAGATATAAAATGAAATGTTAAACTTTTAAACCATTTTAATATATTTGCATTCTACAGAATCGTTATAGTGCAAGAGAAACAATATTATTTCGCCTGAAGGCGTTTGTTAAATTTCCCTTATCTTTACTAAATTCTTTACTTACGTTACGTTTTGCATCAACTTAAAGTTAGTATGGCAACCTTCAAAGCAACCCTGAAATGACGATAGCCAATCAAAATGCAGCTTCTAAAATTTCCGTTTACGGAAATGAAATCTTACCATAAAACGCACACAACGCCAAGCGTTTGGTCGAAATTGGATTTCATTCGTAAATTTGACCGAGAACGGATTGTGTTTTACTAAAGGTGCAGCTGTCTTTGCGGCGATATCTATTTTAATAAAAAATAGTGATTGCCAAAATAAATTTAAAATCAAAAGTCTTCAAGTGAATTAAAAACTAACTTATAGCAGCCGGATTTATTTTGCGGTGAGTGTCCATATTAGCGCCTGGTTAAAAAAGTTGATCCAATAATTTTACTTGAGCCAAAATAATTTCCCAGTTTTTCATTCAAGAAAAATTGGGGTTATTTTAGCATAAACAAACCAATCAGCATAAATAAATAAAAACGAATTTGTTTGAGTGTCATTGATATAAAATAAGTTACTATTTTGTGAAATTTTCAGTCTGTACATACACAAACTTATCGATTTGTGTGACATCGGATTAGACGACGAATAC